TACTTAAACATACTCTGTATTTATACATACAGTACCAAATATAAGGCTTTACTCTTTACCATATATGTTAACGTCTCTCATTTGATAAATTTAATTACAATTACCTGATAAGGCAGGTAGGACAGGAACCACGTTATGGGTGGGGAATCTGGCTTACGTAAGTTGCCTAAAGTCAGGCTAAGTGCTGGTCTGGAATTTAGAACCAGGTGTCTCAGTGCACAGGCAGTGGTGTTTCCTGTGATTAGAAGGTAGAAAGGTGAACCAAGCCTTCCTCATAATAATCTCACTAACATAGTAACAGTTACTAAGCAAGTATCTTTTCTTTTTCTGAAACAGAGTCTTGCTCTGTCACCCAGTTGGAGTGCAGTGGTGCGATCTCGGCTCACTGCAACCTCTGCCTCCCGGGTTCAAGCGATTCTTGTGTCTCAGCATTCCACAATAGCTGGCAATACAGGGATGTGCCACCATGCCCAGCTAACTTTTCTGTATTTTTAGTAGAGATGGTGTTTCACCATGTTGGCTAGGCTCATCTCAAACTCCTGGCCTCCACCCATCTTGGCCATGCATGAGCCATTGCACCTGGCCACAAATAACAAACAAGAACTATGACACAGAAAGAACAAGTGTTTGCATTCAAAATGAAAAAAATTTAAAATAGAGGTGAAGTCATACAATCATTTTAAGAGCTGGGAAATTCAGAGGGCAATTTGTTACTCTGGGGACATGGGCCATTATTTCAAGCATTTTAAGCTTTTTATGATATATTATGTATCTTGGAACTTCTGTATTATTGTTTTTTTCATAAACACTGATTTTCATGTCTGTGATTTTAAGCTTAATTTTTTTTTTTTTTTTTTTTTTTTTTTTATGAGATAGGGTCTTGCCATGCTGTCCAGGCTGGTCTTGAACTCCTCGGCCCAGATGATATTTCCAACTCGGCCTCCCAAAGTGCTGAGATTACAGGAGTGAGACACTGCACGTGGCTAAAACTTGCTCACTTTTAGGCATGCTTTTTTTCCTCCAGTGGAGTCTTGCCAAAGGTAGAAAAGTGGTGTCTTCAGGACTGGTAAATACAGGCCTGGCCTTGATCATCAAATAGAGCCATCAACTTCCCAGACTAATTTTCCTTGGGGAAATACCCTATTATACTGCTAAAAAGACATACTGTAAACTTTCTTCTTAGCTCTCCCCAAAGGGATCTACAGTGACTTAGCATTGCAGAAAATGTACCCAGGTTTCTCAGGGATACTAGACTTTGGTCCAGAATTGACACATTTTGGGGACCCCAAATGCCACTGTGATCCACTAGGCTAGGTGATAAAAAAGTTTTGACTCAGGTCAACTCACAGTGGGGTTGATGACCTGCTGTTGTCCATGTACTGTAATTTTTTTTTTTTTTTTTTTGAGATAGTTTCACTCTTGTTGCCCAGGCTGGAGTGCAATGGTGCAATCTCCACTCATTGCAACCTCCACCTCCTGGGTTCAAGTGATTCTCCTGCCTAAGCCTCCCAAGTAGCTCGGACTACAGGCACGTGCCACCACACCTGGCTCAGTTTTGTATTTTTAGTAGAGATGTAGTTTCACCATTTTGGCCAGACTACTCCCGAACTCCTGATCTCATGATCTGCCCGCCTTGGCCTCCCAAAATGCTGGAATTACAGGTGTGAGCCACCATGCCCAGACTAAAACTTTCTTTTAAAGTTTTATATATTTATATAAATTGGGTACTTCCTGCCTTTCTGTGTCTCTTGGGCTGGCTAATACAGTAGTTTAATAACAGTAACAAAGCATTTCTAGAATGGAGTTAAGAATTTACATTATAGTAGCTGTGTTCCATTTCGTAGAATCACTGAACCTATTTGTAAATAGGCAAAGAAACTCTATTCAGCTTCAGAACAAAACCCACCACTGGAGTTGGTTCTGAGTGTGAGCAGAGGCAGATTTCTGAAACACTAGTAGGGGCCACTTCAGCTGCTCCATTATGTCAACGCTAAAAGTGAAATTACAGCCGTATCTGCAGGCTCCACACCGATGGGTTCAACTGAGGATGGAAAACATTAAAAAATAAACAAATACAATTAAAAAAACAAAACCCCAATATAGTATAAGTATTTATGTAGTATTAGATACCATAAGTAATCTAGAGATAATATGCAGGTTATATGCAAATACCAAGCATCCTCAGATTTTGGTATTTTCAAGAGGTCCTGGAACATATTCTCCATGGATATCAAGGGATGACTCTATTTGCTTTTGCCTATCTAGAGGAACTGCTAAATTTTTAGTGTTTCTGGTGTTTTGTCTGTGGATAAAAATGGTTGGAGATCTTGAGGGGCTTAATTTAGTAAATGGCTTTTGAAAAGTATTTTTAACAGATAAAAATCATATATAAAATAGCCCTCTCAGAAACAGAAACTCTTTGTGTGTTTCTTTCCCTCACTCATGTGCTCAGATTACAAAAGACTCAATTCCAAGCTCCAGTTAGTGTGGCTGCTCCATCCTTTCCTGGGCCAACCATCTACCAGGTCCAAGTGGGTCACAAAACTGGAATTCTCTGTCATTTACCTCTAATATCCGTGTTGTCCCTTCCAAAGGAAAAAACTGATCAATTTACCAAAGCAAGTACTTTTTAAAATGCTACTTTTTCAAACCACTCTGTTGGCATATTCCCTGATAATTCGGATACAGCAAAGTTCTATTACAGATTTAAACAGTTATCTAAACTTTTTTTTTTTTTTTTTTTTTTTTTGAGATAGAGTTTCGCTCTTTTCGCCCAGGCTGGAGTGCAGTGGTGCAGTCTCAGCTCACTGTAACCTCCGCCTCCCAGGTTCAAGCAATTCTCCGGCCTCAGCCTCCAGAATAGCTGGGACTACAGGCATGTGTTCTCCACCTAATTTTTGTGTTTTTAGTAGAGACAGGGTTTCACCATGTTGGCCAAGATGTTCTTGATCTCCTGACCTTGTGATCTACCCACCTCAGCCTCCCAAAGTGCTGGGATTACAGGCATGAGCCACTGTGCCCGGCCCACACACACACACACACACACACACTGTGCTTCCCCTTCCCCCAAAAAAGCAAGATCATGACAGAATTCTTTTGCCTATTCAAAATGGCCACTCACCACATACTGCCCCTCACACACCTCTTGCCTTTCTTGCTTCCTCTCTTTCTCATCCTTAGTTCTATGCACTCCTTTATTCTCAGAACCTATTGACTTGATCTAGCACAATATTTCTTGCAAGATTATCAGTAAATATGAAAAGCCCCCCACTCCAGCTTGGGCAACGAGTGAAACTGACTAAAAAAAAAAAGTTTCAGTACATGGATAACAGCAAACCATCAGATCCACTGTGAGTTGACCTGAGTCCAAACTGCTTATCACCTAGCCTGGTGGATCACAGTGGCATTTGGGGTCCCTACAATTCTGGATCAAAGTCTAGTATCCTTGAAGCCTAGGAACATTTTCTCCAATGCACATTCTGCTAACTGACTGTACATCCCTTTGGGGAGAGCTAAGAGGAACACTCCTACAGGACAGATAACCCACACTAGAGTACAGTGAGGCCAGCTAAACACAGCAATCAGGCTCCAATGACAGAAAAGCAAAGAGGATAACAGATGGGAGGTTGAGGACACCAAATTTTGCCCCTTGATAAATACAGCCTACAGTTGACCATGGTAGCAACCTCAGTGAAAACAAGGAACTATTTAATTTTTACCTTTCAAACTGATGAACTGTATTGGGTTATCTACTAGTTACTTTTTTTTTTTTTTTGAGACGGAGTTTCGCTCGTTACCCAGGCTGGAGTGCAATGGCACGATCTCGGCTCACCGCAACCTCCGCCTCCCGGGTTCAGGCAATTCTCCTGCCTCAGCCTCCTGAGTAGCTGGGATTATAGGCATGTGCCACCATGCCCAGCTAATTTTTTGTATTTTTAGTAGAGACGGGGTTTCACCATGTTGACCAGGTTGGTCTCGATCTCTCGACCTTGTGATCCACCCGCCTCGGCCTCCCAAAGTGCTGGGATTACAGGCTTGAGCCACCGCGCCCGGCAACTTCAATTTGTTATTCCGTTATTTTGCAGGGGCGGGGGGATGGAATCTCAATCTGTCGCCAAGGCTGGAGTGCAGTGGTGCAATCTCGACTCACTGCAACCTCCGCCTCCCAGTTCAAGTGATTCTCTTGCTTTAGCCTCCCAAGTAGCTGGGACTACAGTTGTGCACCAGCATGCCTGGCTAATTTTTCTATTTTTAGTAGAGATGGGGTTTTACTATGTTGGCCAGGCTGGTCTCGGAACTCCTGACCTTGTATCTGCCTGCTTCAGCCTCCCAAAGTGCTAGGATTACAGTAAGCCACTGTGCCCAGTCTTGTTATCCTTCAAGGTGAAACAAAAAGGTCAGGAGTTTGAGACCAGCCTGGCCAACATAGTGAAACCTCATCTCTACTAAAAATACAAAAATCAGCCGGGTATGGTGGTATGTGCCTGTAATCCCAGCTACTCAGGAGGCTGAGGCAGAATTGCTTGAGGGAGGTGGAGGATGCAGCGAGCTAAGAGCGAACCACTGCAGTCCAGCCTGGGTGAAAAGAGTGAGACTATGGCTATTAAAAAAAAAGGGGGGGAGGGGAACAAAACAAATACTTAATTTCTTCAGATTGCCCAAATACTTCAAAATACTGACAAAAATTTAACAGCACAGATATAAAGTAAATCATTTCATAAAGAAGGGAAAGTCAGTGTTCATTTTTTCCACATGGATTATGAAATACTTGTTCTATGGACAAACTCAAAGTACTTCACCAGGAGACCTGATGGCCCATAGTACCGACCTCAGAGACACAGGAAGGGCGAATCACATCAGAAGGAATACTACACTGAGAACTCCAACCAGCCATTCAAAATGTCAGTAGTGAGGTAAAAGCCTTGACTATCAATTTCAAGATAATTAACTATGTTAACAAAGCACCTATGTATTACTGCACCTTCTCCATTTTAATACAGGCTCTATGAACACATCCGCGATCTCAGCCTTTTCCTCTTCAATGATGCACTGCTGGTTTCTAGTCGGGGCACATCTCACATTCCATTTGAGAGGACTTCAAAAACCACCTACCAGTTCATTGCATCAGTGGCCCTTCACAGGTTATTCATAGAAAATATTCCAGATTCCAAGTGTATGTATTCTTTTCCTTCCAAGAGACAGATACCTTCAAAAAGCTACATAATGTAAAGCTCATTAATAGAAAAGTAGAAAAAGAACTGGAATTATAATTTACCAGGATGCAAATAATTCCCCCAATATTAGAATTTCATTAAGCAATGTAAACTTTCATCTACCTCTGAAATGGTTAAAGACAGGGATTCTGACATTCAGACTTGCACCTTAAGAAAACAGCCCCCCCACCTTTTTTTTTTTTTTTGAGATGGAGTTTCACTCTTGTTACCCAGGCTGGACTGCAATGGCACGATCTCGGCTCACCGCGACCTCCGCCTCCTGGGTTCAAGCAATTCTCCTGCCTCAGCCTCCTGAGTAGCTGGGATTACAGGCACGTGCCACCATGCCCAGCTAATTTTTTGTATTTTTAGTAGAGACGGGGTTTCACCATGTTGACCAGGATGGTCTCGATCTCTTGACCTCGTGATCCACCCGCCTCGGCCTCCCAAAGTGCTGGGATTACAGGCTTGAGCCACCGTGCCCGGCCTTTTTTTTTGAGATAGAGTTTTGTTCTTGTTGCTCAGGCTGGAGTGCAATGGCACAATCTTGGCTCACTTTAACCTCCACCTCCAGGGTTCAAGTGATTCTCCTGCCTCAGACTCCCGAGTAGCTGGGATTACAGGCATGCGCCACCACGCCCATCTAATTTTGTATTTTTAGTAGAGACAGGGTTTTTTCCATGTTGGTCAGGCTGGTATCAAACTCCCAACCTCAGGTGATCTGCCTGTCGCAGCCTCCCAAAGTGCTGGGATTATAGGAGTGAGCTACTGTGCCCGGGTGGAAAACAGCTTTCCAAAATCACAAAGGGAAGCAAGGCTCCAAATGACTGTGAGTTCTTTGAAGATCTGGAGCTCTTAACCACTATTCTATACTGTCTGAAGGTGCTACAGTCTTAAAGCATATTTTAAATTTTTATTACTTTCCCATTCTACTAGGATTAAGTGATTATTACATATTTGACACATACCTTTTTTTCCTTAAGTTTGCATCTAACCTGGGAGTTGTTAAATAAACGAATTAACAGATATGCAAAGGATGTTTGGTAAATTAAACATTTCACTTACAGTAATTCCAATAGAAATATCATTTGTCACAAAAATGATTTTCTACTTCAACCCTATTGTACATATTTATAGTTATTATCCTAAACTTTACTTCCCAAGTTTAAAAGTTTCTATATCTTAGCCCTATGTTTCTTAGGCAAGACAATCTGAATGTAACATCTCTCATTCTCATGTCTTAAGGTTAAAGCTGGAACCCAAGACCCTAGAGAAGTACCAAACTAAATAAAAGGGCTATTTCCCAATAGCTTCAGCCCCATCCTAAATCTGAGCCTGAGAAAAAATTTATCACCTAGAATACAAACTCAGCTTAAAAAGGCTTAGTTACCTATAATCATTGGGTATGGTGAGTGTACGAAACATGTCTCCTTCAGTACCCCTCCCACCATGGCAATCAGCTATGAGCTGTGTCAAAATAGTGTTATGTAATCTAATAGATAGTGGGCATTCAACTAGGTAGTTGGCTTGATTCTGTCACTGGCTCTCATACTGAGGTCGTCTAGTCTAGCTCTTAGAATCTTTATTTATAACAACTATCAGTAAAGACTGTTACTGATTTCAGTTCTTTCTGGAGTAGTTGAGACAAGTAATTAAACAACATTCTATCATCCTATCATCTATCCTTTAGTTTTTAAAATAATTGCTATTACAATAACTGTAAGATAAAGACATTATTTTACATTGTATTTGAATTATTCAGTAATTTTAGGAAGTTATATTCTACACTGGGTATGTTTTTCTTTTTAGGTTTTAAAAATTCTTTTTTTTTTTGAGACAGAGTTTCGCTCTTGTTACCCAGGCTGGAGTGCAATGGCGCGATCTCGGCTCGCCGCAACCTCCGCCTCGCCGCAACCTCCGCCTCCTGGGCTCAGGCAATTCTCCTGCCTCAGCCTCCTGAGTAGCTGGGATTACAGGCACGTGCCACCATGCCCAGCTCATTTTTTGTATTTTTAGTAGAGACAGGGTTTCTTTCACCAGGTTGACCAGGATGGTCTCGATCTCTCGACCTCGTGATCCACCCGCCTCGGCCTCCCAAAGTGCTGGGATTACAGGCTTGAGCCACCACGCCCGGCCCTTAAAAATTCTTAAACATAGTGATTATTAAAATTTTTTCTTGGCCAGGCACGGTGGCTCACGCCTGTAATCCTAGCACTTTGGGAGGCCGAGGTGGGTGGACCACCTGAGGTCAGGAGTTCAAGACCAGCCTAGCCATCATGGTGAAACCCCATCTTTAAAAAAAAAAAAAAGTAAAAAAAGAAAAAATTTTTCTCATTTTGATTGTTACCTGCAAAGATTAATTAGTATACCTCAAATGCTTTTACAGATGTCAAGAATGCATTTATTCTTCAAGGTCCAAAATATAAATGGATTTGTGCTACAGAAGCAGAGGATGATAAGTTCCTATGGCTGTCAGTACTTCAAAATGCAATCAAAAGTAGGATGGAGAAGTGAGACTGAACTTGAAAGCATCAAGGGTACCAATTCTACCCAGCAAAGACAGACAACATGTATTTTCTGTTCCAAAATATCCAGTAAGAAACAGAGTAACTGTCATGGACCAAGATGACCCATAGGATCCTTCCAACTTTTAAACTGTATCATTTGTGCTCACTTATGAAGAATGTATAAGAACACTTTGAGTCCAAAAGTTTGAACTACTTCTTTTGGTAGCTATATTTCATGGGTAATCTGATGTGACGAAACCTAAGACAGCGCAAGCACATTGTGTATAGCTTTGTTTTGTGATCTCATGAAAAAAGCAGAATTAAACTGTTTCTTAAATGATCAGTCTAGAAAAATATTTTGTTGGTGATTTACCATTTTTAGTATTTTCGAGAAATTATTAAGCTATAAATAACAGGGCCAGGCGTGGTGACTGACACCTGTAATCCCAGCACTTTGGGAGGCCGAGGGAGGCGGATCCCCTGAGGTCAGGAGTTTGAAACCAGCCTGAACAGCACGGAGAAACCCAGTCTCTACAAAAAATGCAAAATTTGCTGAATGTATTGGCGCATTCCTGTAATCCCAGTTACTTGGGAGGCTGAGGCAGGAGAACTGCTTGAACCTGGGAGGCAGAAGTTCTGGAGACCCGAGATCGCCCCATTATACTCCAGACTGGGCAACAAGAGTGAAATTCCGTCTCAAAAAAAAAAAAAAAAAAAAAAAAAAAAAGGGTAAGAGGCCAGATGCAGTGGCTCATGTAATCCCAGCACTTTGGGAGACTGAGGTGGGTGGACCACCTACGGTCAGGAGTTCCAGACCAGCCTGGCCAACATGATGAAACCCTATCTCTACTAAAAACACAAAAACTTAAGCCAGGTAGTGGCACACGCCTGTAGCCCCAGCTACTTGGGAGGCTGAGGCAGCCAGGAGAATTGCTTGAACCCAGGAGGCAGAGGCTGTAGTGAGCTGAGATTGCACCATTGCACTCCAGCCTGGGTGATGAGTGAACCTCTGTCTCCAAAAAAAAAAAAAAAAAAGATAAATACAAATGGCAATTTACTCAAAAACTTGTCATACGTATCCTTAATATGAATGTACTCCTCTAGAGCACATTAAAGATATACCACTACAAAGTACTAAAATTTGTTCTATAATTTTTAAGTGTTATTTACTGCAAGACTAAATTCTAAGAAGCTTTAAAAATATTTTTGACATTGTTACATTAGAAGGCTATTTTTTTTTTTTTTTTTTTTTTTGAGACGGAGTTTCGCTCTTGTTATCCAGGCTAGAGTGCAATGGCGCGATCTCGGCTGACTGCACCTCCACCTCCTGGGTTCAGGCATTCTCCTGCCTCAGCCTCCTGAGTAGCTGGGATTACAGGCACGCGCCACCATGCCCAGCTAGTTTTTTTGTATTTTTAGTAGAGACAGGGTTTCACCATGTTGACCAGGATGGTCTCGATCTCTCGACCTCGTGATCCACCCGCCTCGGCCTCCCAAAGTGCTGGGATTACAGGCTTGAGCCACCGCGCCCGGCTAGAAGGCTATTTTTAAAAAGCAACTTTTAAAAAACAAAAATAAATTGAAACAGCAAAACTTGCTTAAAATGAAATTAGCTGTAAAAATGTTTCTTTTAAAACAAAGAAACAGCAAAATAGGTATTGAGTAATTTCCTGGGCCTTTAAACTATTACTTAACAACTAAAGGCATACTGATAGCCACTTGGAAACTTTAGCTGATGTGTATCTTTACCTAGATATTGCTAGATAAAAATTACATTAATCTTGGAAGCTTAAGGTTGTCAGTTTCTTTTGTTCTTCAAATTCTTGTTTATAGTAATACAGTCTATTGGTACAGTTCAGGATAGTGAACCTAAAGTATTTAAACATTTTTTCTTTCGGAAATGAAAATACAAAATCCTCTATTTCTTTTTTTTCTTTTGAGACGGAGTTTTGCTCTTGTTACCCAGGCTGGAGTGCAATGGCGCGATCTTGGCTCACTGCAACCTCCACCTCCGGGGTTCAAGCAATTCTCCTGCTTCACTGGGACTACAGGCACGTGCCACCATGCCCAGCTAATTTTTGTATTTTTAGTAGAGACGGGGTTTCACCATGTTGACCAGGATGGTCTTGATCTCTTGACCTTGTGATCCACCCACAAAATCCTCTATTTCTTCAAACTTTAAAGGCTTATTTAAAAAATGAACAAAAGTTAAAATATTACACTGTTTTGTGTAAAACCACACTTCTGATTCTTTTAAGATATATCCATGTAGTTTAACATCTATGATTCTACAGACAGAATAAATCTTAAAGGAAGTATCTGCTGTTAGCAATGGGTCAAAATGTATATATAATATTAAATAAAATCTAAAAGTGTATTCTCCTCAATAAGGCATACTCCAGAAACTCATTAATAGGAAAAATTTGTCTATACAGCAAAAGAATGACAAGATGGCTAAAGGTAAACTAGAAATCTTAAGGAATTCCCCTTTATTTTGTGAATAATCGATATCCTCAGAAGTTTTAAAACAATACTTAAAAATAATTAAGAAAGGTCATTATTCATTCATATCTATTTCATAAGTTTACAAGACTAATGAATTATTCAATCTCACATAAAATAGTTCTAAGTCACTGATGAAGTTGATCACATTTCCACAAGGAAAATATAAAATCTAACATGTTTATATTTGTCACAAGTTGACACGTAAAAGAGGCGTGAACATACCACATGATTCGTGAAGAATGTATATTACTGCAGAGAGTAAATTAGCTTATGGTGAACACTGCCTTATCCAATATAATTCTTTAAAATAAAAAATTAAATGGGAAACTTTTAAAAGACTTTTTATGGAATACAGATGCTTTATGTAAAATATTAAACATAAAAGAGGACAAATTGACAATTTATTTCTGAGTATGTGACTGAGATGTAAATGAGCCCATTCTAGAAATCAAATCGGTGTGTGGTTTAAGCCATAGAAGTATTATGTATCCTGGAATGCTATGGAACAGAAAAGGTGGGTGTCCCAACAAACACGATATACCCTCCAGAAAACGTCATCCTGACCTTTTTATTGTTGAAATTAAAAAATAAAAGATACTTAAATACAATGGTGAACATACAGGGCAAAACAGAATCATAAAATTTAACGTTGAATTAAGCAATGAGCTGAATGTTTGGGTCTCCAAACTGGCTTTAAACCCAAAATCACTTAAAAACGACTATGTTCACAGTTAACGGCAATTGGCTTATAGGTGAGAGAATGGTCGAAGTTGTTCCAGTTGAACTTCCAGGGAAATTCTCTCCTCAAGAACATCCTGAAAAAGAGGCAAAGTCCAAGTTATGTTTCAAAGTATATAAAAATAAAGGAACATCTAATAACACCTCTGCTTCAAGAAAGCAATTTAAATTTGTCAAGAAGACTAAGGGAGAGCTTATTTGTGTTTTAAAAGTATACTTCACTTTAGAAAGGTGGATTCTTTATATCTTTTTAATATTAAAGAAAGATCCTGGTAATTTCAAACATTTTATTACATAAAGCAGGGTAACAGAATGTCTAGTTATCAGAAAAGTCAATGTTTGCAACAAATGGGTATTAACAACGGAATTTTGCAATAAGTCTGCCCTCTGAATTAATTGTAGATGAATTTGTTAATATAGCTTCTTTTCCCTAGTGATGACATCTGGCTACATTGACTCCTAGATCTCATTTTGAGCTTTAGTTTCACAAAGAGTAACTTTGCATTCAGAATTTTAAATCAATGCTGATTTTGGACAGTCTTTCTAGTTAGCCACCAAATTCTAACTTACTTTCCTTTTTTTGTTTTCTCTATCATGCTGACAGTACCTTATTTTACCCAGAACTACCTCTTTCTATTTTGTACCTTACTTCCTATTTTCTGTTCTCAGAAGTAATAAAAAGGGAATTTTTCAAAACAGTTTCTATGTACTTAATGGTTTTCCTTGGTTCAGAAAAACATACATGACCCCAGGTTAACATGACCCCAGGTTACCTGTATAAGCATTAAGGTTTGAGAACCACTTTTTTAAAAAAAAATTTTTGTAAGACATGAGTACCTAATAATGCTGGGAAGCCATAAGTGAGTCTGGGAGTAATTTTTTTTTTTTTTTTTTTTTTTACCCAATAAGGAAGGAGTAAGTAGAAGTAATTTTATTTCTAGGGATGCAAAGAAATCACAGTTAATAGAAAATACACACATTCCTCTCAGGTATTGCCTTTTCTCTTTCCACATGCAACATGATAGAAATTGCTGCCATCTCTCTTCTTTAGATCTGTTTAAATCCCTTTAATGGAATCTGAGTTGTCTTTGATAAAAGGACAAACTACAACCTGGATGCAGTGGCTCACGCCTGTAATCCCAGCTACTCAGGAGGCTGAGGTGGGAGGACAGTTTGAGCTTGAGCCCAGGCTGCAGGGTGACAGAACAAGACCTCTTAAAAAAGAAAAGGAGTGGGGTAGGGCAAGTAAACTAACCACAGTAAAAGCATCTAGAAAATTAGAGCGGAGAACCATGTATGTGATCTTGGAGGTTATCTGGGGTCACATTTCTTCCTTTAGGTTTCTTTACTAAGATGAGGAACATTATAAAGATTCAGAAACTATATTACCTTTAACTGTTGCTGCAATTCACTATTCAATCTGGCCAAAACTGTGTTGGTTTCCTTATTTCGTCTAATTGATGCCTGAATAGCTTTCTTATCTTTCCCAATAGATCTGAGAAGACAAAGAAGGCAAAACAAAAAACAAAAAACAAAAAACAAAAAACCATAATCTTTGTTTCTTATCTTAAATCCTCTCTATTCCTCCCTATTTTTGAACATGAAAAGTTAAAAGGAGCATCTTTTTTCTTACTAGTACAGCTCAACCTCACTTGCTCAGTTGCAGTGATAAACCAAAAAATAAATTATTAAATAAATTATTCTTCTGTAGAATCACCTGAATTTAAGAAGAATAGTCTAAAGTAGGTATTGGCAAACCTTTTCTGTAAAAGACCAGATAGTAAATATTTCAGGCTCTGTGGGCCACAGAGTTTCTGTCTCATATTCTAGTTTTTTATTTTTTCTCTCCTATTCTTTCTTCTTTCTTCTACAAAAAAGAACAAATCATTCTTAGCTCATGGGCTATACAAAAATAGGCCATAGGCCAAATTTGGCCCATAAGACTTAACTTGCTGATTCCTGATCTAGAATACCGTAACACGAGTTTTAGTATAAACTATCAAGTTTAAGAAACCCTGTATTGCTA